TTTTTTTCACCCCCTTTACTTTCCCTTTTTCTTATTGTTTAAATATTAGGTTACACTAATACGAGCATCGTATTGCCGATGGTATCCGAAATGTGTGTGCTGTTTTGTGTGTGCTGTTTTGTGTGTGCGTTATATTCGAAATATGTATAGTTATAAATCCTGTTGGTATCTATGAATAGGAAATGTGGGTGTATGGGTGCGGATGTGTGCGTGTGCGAGTGTTTGGGTGTGAAAAAAACAACTCTTTGTGACCATGCTTTTGTATTATCTGGACAGAAGTTTATTATATGTTATGTACACTGTATTATTGTATGATCACTGAGAAAAAAATAAATTATAAAAAAAAAGTAAAGATACACTTAAAGGAAGTTATCCGTATGATGAAACAAGTACAAAGAACGAAAAAGCTGTGATGCATGATCGTACAAGCACACGCATAGATATTCTGTATAATGACAGTGTAGCAACTGATATCAACACTGTGAATTAAAAAAATGTTGAAGATGATAAAAACAAAGAAGGGGACAACATTGATCAAAGACCAGAAAGTGACAAAAATGTAATGTTGGCGATTGATGTACAAGAAAGTGACCACCCTGGGACATTTAAAACATCTGGATCTAAATTATCTAAAGCCAAATTTAGCATAACAAATGAATCCAACATTAAATTACCATTACCAGATACAAAAATAGGTGATATATCAATACTGGTAACATCGAGTGATAACATCGTAGTCTGTGATTATCATAATAATAAACTTATGACATTTGATACCGTTCAACAAAAGCTAAAGAACATGTTTGAGTTTCCGGCAAAAGTGATAAACATAGACCTTTTAAAAGATCAAATTATTGCCGTTTGTCATGAAAATTCAGCGCATATAACCATGATTGCTTTGAACACGTCTTTTAAATTAATAGGAGTCATTGAAACCGAGTATAAAGCCAAGTGTGTGCAGTCAGTTGACGATACAAATATGTTGGTTTCTATGCGTGATTCTTCAGGTCGTTGGCATTTACATATATTATCTAATGCTGGACAATTGATAGAAAAACTAAATTTCAACAGATCAATTTTAGACTGTAAAAGCCTAGCAGTTCTTTCTTCTGATGAGTTTAGAGTCGGTTATAGAATTTTACAGTGTTGCTTAACTGCGAATGCTTTGTTCCGTTATGAAAAGGATGGGAAAGATATCTTCAAATTAAAATTGAAGTCTCCTGATTGTGTTGCTGTTCATGACTCTGGTTTCATTTTTGTAACAGAGAGACAAGGCCGCATCCATGTTTCTTTCTTCATCTGGACAGAAACTTTACGAAACAAAGTGTTGCAGTGATGTTACAAGCATTGCGATCACTCCATCTTTGGATAAAATTTTACTAACTAGATCAAAGGACAAAAGTGTTACAGTGTTGTCTGTTGATATGAATATTGAGAATATGTATTAACTTGCAAATTTAACAAAAATATCTGTTTTTGTTTATACATAATATCTATACTTATACACGTATTTAAAAAGTCAAAATACGTTGATCAAAAACTTTGTAATAATGTTAAAAAATAAATTGAAATTGATACTCGACAATTTAGTGTAATTATCTATAAATTAACATGCAACAATACTAAGTTAGCAGCGAGCTTATGCCTGTTATTTTAAAATGCATTTATAATTCTTCAAGCTGCCATGATATCTTCTCACTCCACTGAATTATTTTATATTTAATACTTCCACTGTTATAATTTTTACTGCAGATGTGACTAATTTTTTGTAGATCATATTGCATGGCATAGTTCAAGGTATCCAAATGCATGAGTTATGTTATAATTAACCGTCGTATGAAAATACCTGCGGATGTTTCAACCATTCTTAAGAAGTTGGCAAAGTCGGTGTTAACATGCAATTTTGAAATTATTGATCAATGTGTATAATGACCTATTATCTTCCTTGCACCACAACTAGAGCAAGAGCACCACAAATGCGGGACAATATACGCCCGAATTGAAATTGGTTTGAGTAATCAAAAATAATCTTTCAATTAGGGTAAATACCCAATCATGGAACTTGTGAAAATGTTTTTATCTTAATTATCCTTATGATACAAGTTGGAGGCATTTTTGACCTTAAGTGTATGATTCAAAAATGTTTTATAGAGGTCTACTAGGCAATGTTATATGCTAAACATAGAGGCATTGTATTGTCCACAAACAGATAAGATATTTTTTCCTATACCTTAGTCTAGTTAAAGCAAGTAACTCCAGGGACAGGGCAAATTTTGATTAAAATAACGTTTGGAGATCTACAAATCAATGCTATATGTGCCATATATCTAAGCTCTGGTCGTTGTAGTGTCACATAAAACTTAAATGTGATTTCTTGCAATCAATTAACGCCTGGGGGCGGGTCAATATTGACCCAAGGGGATATGATTAATATCAATTCTGCAGACATTCACAAGGTAATGCTACATGCTTAATTTAAATTGACCGTAGCAAACAATGACTGTGGCTTCTTTAGGCTGCAAGTACTTAGTGACCATCTTGGCAATAAAACCTTTTGGACTGAGAATTATTAGAAATTCGGTCTCTTTAAAATAAATGTGTCTGTGGCTTTCCATATATTATACCAAAACAAACTCAAAATTGGACCGACCAAAACAGGATATATTTTTTTAATTTTTATTATTCTATTATTAAAATCTAAACTTCTAAATTGTCTGTGGCTGTCCGGCAGCTGGATCACTATGTGAGTGATGGTAACCTATGAGGTGGTTATCTCAAAATCTGGGGGATTGGCGTGACGTGGTGTAGAAGACCACTCTTGAGGGGATGAGAAGACCATGACCAAGCCCCCAAAGTGTCACACTCTCAAAGTAGGCATTACGGGAGGAGGTCAAAGAAGATTTCTTTGAAGACCGAGACGAGGGGCAACTCTTCAAGATCCACCAGATGGGGGAAGCAGTCATGGTCTCATGGCGGAGCTTGAAAACTGGAAGGAGTGACCATGTCTGTCCGAAATGCATGTCTTAGGCACCGAATCGGTAACACCTGTCAGAAGCACCATTGCTTGCCCGTGTGTCCGTATGGCCTATGTCAGTAATCCTTGCACGTCCGTTTCTTGATCCTTTATTTTAGGCAGCAACACTTTCACAATCTTAACATAATGCACATAATAGTCTCATTGGCCTACCGTGCATTATTTCATTAATTACAAATAACAATATTTGCATTCTCTTTGGGCTCATTCAGTGAATTTCTGAATTTCAATCAAATAGGTCACCACTTTTGATTTTAACACATTTTAAGGGCATGACATGTGACATGTCCGGTGTCCGTACTAGATAGAGCTAACAAAAAAGGTGATTTATGACCTAACCTTAACCATGTTAAAAATTAGTTGTCTGAAGCAAAGTTTGATTTGACCTGTATTTAACACTGTACAAAACTCATATCATCCCTAACTTAGGTTATCAAAACAGTGACCTTAATCTTGACCATAGGGACAAGAAAAAGCTCCTAAAGGACTTTATTGCATGTATGAATAAGGGGTAAGGGATATAAAAGAGAAGACAAACCAAAATGTGATTTAAATGGTTATTTTGGGAATATCAACATTTTCTTTTTATCACAAAAAAGTAAGCAAGATTGCAACAATGTAAAGTACATCCGGTACACATTAAATATCCTATATACTGTAAGCTTTATAAATAGTATATAAAAACTATACTTTACAATGAAATGTTTGTCACAAAATTATATAGAAAACTCATACAAATGAATATAGAAAGCAAAATCGAGGGTTTCACAGCCACACTGTTTTAGCACAATTAACCATTGAAATATAATTATACATATACAAACACACATGTATATAACAAAACGCTATCTGACAAAAGAAAACGTATCAAATAAAATACTGAATTATACAAAACAAAAAAACTTGTACATGAAATAAACTGAAAGAAATTTTATTTTCAAAAACCGGTAAAATTCATTTTGTGATGAATGAATGTAAATGATGCTTTAACTCCTCAAACGCTGAAATCCTTGCAAAGCATGGTTTATACCAGTGGTGATAGTACATAAACCAAATACATCTACACATCATGTATTTCCATAGCAACAATTACAACTTATATACTGCTTGATTAAAAGAAGTTTCCAGGATTACTGCAATTTTTATAAAGTCAAGGAAGTTTTTTTTCTTCTTTAAATTGCATAAGATTTTCTAAACCTTTGCATGATTAAAGAGAGTTGTAACTGAAACAAATTGATTAAAAATAAATTAGAGGTCATATGCACCTGGAAGTGAGTTTTATGCTCTTTAAGATCATTTACATTTCCGTGTGCTTCCTTAAATTTTCCTTCTTTGCCTTTGTAAAAAATTGCACTACTCCCAGAAATGTCTTTTATGACAGATACATGGGTGAAAGTTGGAAATTTTAAAAATCCTGAAAATCCTGAATTTAGCAGTTTTTCTATAGTTTTACATAGGAAATAGAAGGATTTCAGGAGACTGAAAATACTGAACTTCAGGAATAATCCTAAAATAATGACCAAGCAACATTACTATCTACTGGATATATTCTATAATAATCCTAAAACTTTCAGATGCATCTGTTAGTAAATGTAACATATGTAGAAAAAGAGTTTTTAAGCACCTATGGTTCAGAGTCAGCCAAGCTGACATATCTATACAGTATTATTGCAATGAAAGGAAATATCAACAAAGGAGAGCATCACATTCACTAAATGTTGCCACCCAACCATTGCTCTCAATTTATTTACCAAAGCATCAATGTTCATAGGTCAAAATTTTCTCTTCAGTCTATACTTGTATGTAAATTTTTTAAATTATAAATATTAACTACATGTATATTCACTGAAGATGACAAAAAATAGGTTTTTACATAGATCTACTATGCTTTTAAAACTTTATTCACATATCCATCCTGGTCTTAAACTTGGTCATTATTTTGATCTAGTTTTTATTCATGCAAGTACATGTATTGTGTTAATCTGAGAATGAGATTTATGGCCAATCAGCAGTTTTGAATATTTTGAATGAATTTGTACCAAAGTGTACTACATGTAGTATAACCCTAATATGACCAATGGAAGTTTCACACGACACTTAAAATAAAATACACTTTCTTTGATTCTTTCTTTGCATTGTGAACATGAGGATGGTGCTCAATTCTTTGTAAATTTTAACTTCCAGGTTATTTTTACCCTGTCATCTCCTAAGGTAGATAATATATGGTTCAAAATTCAAAGCTAAACGCCTCCAAGCCCAAATTTTGGCAAGTCAGGAGGAAAATTTCATAAAATGCCTACAAGTAAATATATACCAGAGATATAATGGACATGTGGAGAGCTACAATTAATGAAAGAGGTAACATTTTAAAAATCATTGTGACACAGTGGAACTGGAAAACAAGTTAATCAGAATTGTTGAAAACATTCTGGTATTTGATTTCTTAAAAGAGGTAAATAATGGTATCACTAACTTAGAATAATATAAATATATCAATGAGGAAGTAAATATTCAAAAGATTTGTTATGACAACAATGAGACTCTCCATACCTATCAAAGCTCATTTTAACAAGATTATATCTATATTTTCTATTTCAAATATCATCAACCATTCAATTTTGTTTCTACTATTCATACAGAACCAAATAAAATCACACTAAATATAACCAAAACAACAACAAAAACAGCTACACATTTGCATTGAATTCTTTTAATCATATAAATTATATAACAACAGCACAATTTTCATCATTTTTTTAATAAAAAACTCAAATACAATTAATAAGAAAAATCTTATAATGTAAAATAACACATTAATTATATAATGCTGGGAAACAGAAAAAATCATGCATTTTTATCACAACAGGGAAAATTATAAACGTTTGTTCTTTCGGCATCATAAATTCTACTCGGACAGAAAGCATCAACAATGAATGACATATAAATTAATGTTACTTATTCTTGACACATACTTTATATTTTTCCTATTCACTATTATATACATTTCGAGTAAAAACTTTAATATTTCACAAGTACTCGGTACGAGAATATAAAGAATTCTGATGAGAATATTTACTATACTTATTCACCTAACCATATATCAAAGGAAACTTCAGCAATGTTCATGATCATTGCAAACACATAAATAATTGTCTTTCGAGTCGTACCCAGATCACGACCATGTTTCCTCATATTACACCAGTACTGGTTAGTGCCAGGATGCAGACTCGATATAGACTTAAATGTGATTAACATAAGTTACTAGAACTTGTTTCACAATCTAGCTAAAATAAATATGTTTATACTTATAATCCTTTTCATGTTATTAATGTAACAAAAATCTGCAAATATAAGCTAATGAATTTATACATAGTGATGCCAAGATTTGATGTCATCATGAAGTAGGTGCTCTATGTGGAGAAAACACAAGAAACATTTCCATATGGCTGAAACAAGTCTTTTCTAAAATATTGTTGTTTTTTTGTTATTAGTTTTTGTTATTAATTTGTTATTGTTGACAGGCAATTATCACGAAATCAGGTTTCCCATCAATATTACTTATGTGAAAAAGGGCCATAAATCTGCCCAAAACAACCAAACGAAATCCTGACATTATGCTCCAGGGCACTAGATGAAAATCATTAATTTTTCTGGTGAAAAAATCACAGAAAAAAATGATACTTAAAGTCAACCAGACTGATATGAGACATTTCTTGAAGAATGAAATTAACATGTAAAAGAGTATTCCTACTTCTCTTACAATTGAACATAATTATGCATAAAAAATCTACTGTTTTGCCATGATGTACATAGAAATGTTCTATGATTGACTAAAATGAAACTGTACAAAAAACATAACATTGAGCAAGCAGCCTTAAAACCATATTGAAAAACATCAAAGGTCATGCATTTCAACCTTAACATAACTGTCATGGTTTGACAGGAGAAAACAAGGTATGAGGAAAAAGGTATAATATAATGAGGTAAAAATACTTCATAATGACAATTTGGTTGGTACTGACCTATACAATAATCTGATGAACACTTTTATACCACGACTTAATACAAAATGATAGCATCTTTCACTTGACTTTCTTATAATATTCATTTTGCAACAAGTCCTCATGTTATATTCCTAAGTCAACTGACATACTTCTTTAAGGGCACATACCTCCAGATTTGTGTTTAACTTTCTGGTTATATAACCTAAATGTACGCCTATCCAATGAAATATATACTATCAAATAGTTACAAAAATTGCCCTTAAGCCATTAGAAACAAGGTAGGAAGATGAAGACAAAATTAACTATTTTGTTATATTTTGTTTTAAACATGCATTACATAAACATACATTATTTTCACTATTAACATATTTTTCTCATGTTTTTCTCTTTTTTTCATTTTTTTTTCTCCCAATTTTTTTTCTTATCTGAGGACATGCAGCTTCATACATGTACAATCTAGCAACTCAAAAGCAGAAAATGTTCAAACCTCAACATTTAAATTTTTATGTGTTAATGTTAAAGAAGCAAATGGAAGGTCAATATATGCATTACTTCAGTTATTTAAGCAGGGTGATCTATTCTCTACTGTATCAATTGGAAAGCAAGTCTATTCACTACCATATCAAATGAAAGACTAAGTTATTCACTACTAGAAACTTAAATCTATTCAACTTTGTATATCATGATGCTCTTTTTCCTGTCTGATTTAGTTTTTTTTTTGTTGTTGTATTCTAGTATTTTCTAAGCAATCTGACTCAACTCTATACTGTTGACTACTCAACTTTAGCTTTTTGATAAAATAAAAATAAACAGATCCATATTCTAAGCAGGGAAAATCTGTTATAAAATTAACTGGGCTGAAAATTACATTTTGTGTTTTCAATTAATATATTATAAATTATAAATATGAAACATATCATTTCCCTTTTCCTTCTCTGTAAAACCTTGAAGTTATGAAGTTTTTTTTATACCTATAAAAAATAAAATGACATAAATCTGGAGGCATGCCACTTTAACAAATCCATTTAAATTCTATCCGTCACCTTTAAGCACAAAAACAAAACATCTCTCAATCATATCTTGGATAACTGGTTTCATACAATTATAACAAACTATATACTGATTATATAATCCCACAAAAAAACCTTCTAATTTGATACATAGTCCACAAAATATCATCAATAAGCTACAAGACCCACCAAATTGTCTTCCTCTTTGTTGCATAAAATTAATATACAAAACTTGAATTTTTTATAACAATATAAACAAAATACAGCTATTATAAATATTACCGTAATTTTAAATTCTATTAAAAAATATTCAATTTGTTAAATATTTCACAATTACAGAACTTCCCTTAGTCATTTTCTCAATGTGTTGAAGTTTTGACATAGTCCCTTTAACTTCTACTTAATGCCGTTTTACTGTAAACAAATCTCCAGATATGTTGGGAATCATAATATATTTCATTTTTCTTGGATTTAAACAATCTAATATAATGGCAATATATTCATTCATTTTTTTGGTCAAAAAATGTTAAATTTCTCAACAACAAAATGATCATAGTAAAACAATTAAAACAATTATTTCAATTGTTTGTATACATAGCAATAAATAACATTTTTTTAAATGTGTACATAGTATCTGTCCACATATTTCAAATATACATAAATATCCTTACCTGAATGAAGTAACAGTTTAACTCCCATTAAATTATATAAGGAGTTAACCTGTTACTGCACTAAGGTGACAATATACATGTATAGTACATTGTATATCTAACAACTCATCTTACAAAAAGCCTGAATATGAGTACAATCATATCACTGTATCAACTTGATTGGCAAGTTCGTAACATATCTGGTCATGTGTTCAATTTGATACACACATATCACTACAAACCTGTCCCAGTAATATACAAAGTCTTGTAATACATTAACAGCTTTTTATATACGGTATATATATTATATATGTGTGTGTGTCACAATAAGACCTTGTCATAAAGTACATGTACAACAATAACAACTTAGACATAACATGTAACAGTACCATATGATATCTGTATAAAGTAAAATGTTCTTGACTCAGAATTTAAAACACCACCACATTTCCAATTAAGACATGATCAATTAGTGTTTCTGTCCCCTTTGTCTTATAAAAAAAATAACCCACAACTGTAATGAAAGACATAAGATTATAAAAATGCCATTTAGTAAGCTTGTTTCAAAATGTTTGGTTACTATTGCTAAGAATACTTGGGAGACGATATCTGACAACACTAGATCTATGTCCACGAGACTGAACTTTCAGAAGCAACAAGGCTAATCATCTGCTAGTTAAACATACATATATGCCCTCATGTTGATAGTAATATCAATGCGTATACATAAATCTGACGAGTTGATAACCAAGGTATAATGGTGCAATTGATGATGTCTCTCACAGGGTAGCAAAGCTTTGCAATCACTCTCTTCTATATATCTGGTTCCCTTACAGTTTGTAGTGTTATATAAAATAATGAACTGATATAGCAAACCAGTTGCACCAATGATGATTCTCCTGCACGAAATTGAAGACTAGAAATCAGTCCAATAGCTCCGCCCATGTGACTGGTTTCCTTACAGTGTGTAATGTGTATAGAATGTATGAGGTGACAATGAGAATAAATTCTGCTCAATCAACACCTTCAAAACCTTGTGCATTCTCTATCGCAATTAACAGTTTCTTACGTAACTCTGAATATGACTCGTATGGTGGTAAATCAATGCGGTTAAAACTGAAAAAGAAATGTATAAAATAAATCAACTTTGTACAAAATGAGTTACTCTTTATAGAATAACAAACACCAGACTTCTCTGACAACATAATAATACACTTTTCTCTGTGCTGGACAGTATTACAAAAGCAAACATAACAAGGGGACATAATTCTACAACATTGCTTTTTCAGAATTATCTAAGATTATTTTTTTAGAAATGAATCATAACAAAAAGGTTAACATAGGCAAAAAAAACTAAATACAAAAATAATTTTACGGATATCGGCCCTTGTGATAAGGCATCACATACTAGCTTTGAACGATTCATCAGGCACTATCAACTATCAGCTTAAATTTTTTTACAAGTAGCTGTCAACATTTCACAGGAATTAACAAAATCAACAAAGTCATGAAATTTATCAATGACTGTTATAAAGTTATCAGGTAAATCAGGTATGCAATAAAGTAGACACATTATATACAATACACAAGTTTTGGACAATATATAATATTCAATAATATCTTACCATGTGTGAGCTCTTGGAAGCAGAGTTATATTGCCCCATTTTTCTATTGTGAACAACTGTGGACCGTTACTTCCATGTAGTTCTTTAAAGCCGTTCATTGGAACACGGGAAGTTCCAGTAACAAACTGGAGTAATCTAGCACGGGTTTCATTGTTGAACGAATAAATAGCCTGGAAATAAGAAATTAGCTTGTGAAAAAATTAGTGCTGACTTAGAAAATTCTGACAAAATTCCCCCGCGAAAGTCTGTTTTTCATGCATTGTACTCCTCATTGACTTACATGTTTCTTTAACTTACTACTTCTAAACCTTTAATGGGAGTTGTACTGCCTACAAAATTTACCATTAAAACATAACAGTCTATACATCCAGTGTGTTCAAACTTAAGATAGTGATCAAGTTGATGAATATAAAGCAAAAATAAACCAGTTTTCAGTTTTCAATGTTAGCATCAGCTTCAGCTTCTTACCTGCATGACAAATTTCTTAACTGGCATTTAAAGAAAGAAGTACTGGTAAAAAAATGCAAACAGATACCCCTATAACAACACAAAGCCTTTATATTTGTCAAATGTTTGAAAAATTCATCAGATAATAGCCTTTACCTATAGATGAGCAAAAACATTTCAAGAAAGTAATACTTGAGAAATATGTACTAAGATTCTAAGGAAAGATTGAAATAATAATTGACATGTTATGTATGATTGGTGGCTGATTTTGTAGTGTTAATCACCTTATTTCTACTGCTTTTAAAAACATTTTCAAAATTTTCATAAAAATTAGCATGAATCTGGAAGAATGCTTCTATAATGAATGAAAAACAAGTCTGTATTCTAGTATATAGTGAGAAAAAAATGGTAGATTACCTTCCAGAAAAAGATAATGACAGGATGGTTAGGGTTGTATTCTCCCTTATAGGCACTATTGTTCTTCCAGTCATTAACATCAATATCTTGAAGACCACACATCAACAACTGAAATATATACATAATTAAATGTGTTAAATATTGGTGCAACAATATGCTGTACTGTGATACAGGCTTAAATGACAATGTTGACCGTTATATTGAACCTTATACAATCTACTTCCTTAACTCCCCTATCACCTGCTTCAGCAGAAATTAACTCCTAAATCTGAAAATGGTGTAGTTTGGGATTACGTAACATTGGCAGACCATCAAATCTTGGAAACTTCCAGACTAGTACAAGCCATTCTATGAAAAATGGCATGCTGAGTTACAAAGTAAAAGAATACTTATATGTCGATGACACCAGCATAGTACAGACTATCAAATGAAAATTTATACAAATCTAATGTAAACAATCACAATGATGTAATTTGTATTACCTCTGTATAGAGTTTAGTTACCATGAAATCTCTGACTGTTTGCCACAATAAGTAACCAACAAATAGCCCGACAAGTATAGGCAAAACATAAGTGTAGATAGTATTCAGAGAGGTGAAGATAGCTATAAGACATGGATATCTTACAATCATCAAAAATATAAAAATTTACCTCTAACTCATTCTCATCAAAGATGGCCAGCATACTACTGGACACGAGTTCATTAAATCCTTTCATGAATTGTCTCATCTGAGTCTCAACACGGGACACAAACCTCCACTTCACTATCAGACTGTTACATGAAATAATAAAACAAACTCCAATAAAAACTATCTCTATATGTAACAATCACTATCACTGATTCAGTCATATGATAATTTTCAGGAAGACCTCATTCCATAGCAAGTAATTCATAAAGAAAGTGATATCAATAAATGGTATACAATGTACATCATAGTCAATCTGAAGGACAGTCTATATCAAATAAGATAACCAACACTTTTGACACTAAGACTGATTTAATAAAAAAAAGTATAGTGCCTAATTAGCATTATCACTGTCAGCAAATAAATATATTCAATTAAACTAACATATAGTTTACATGCTGGAGGCAATAATAATATACCAATATCATCAGTATAGAGACATGCCTGGCCTCAAATTCCATGTAATTATACCATGCTCTCCATTGTTGCTATATCTTAGTTTTTATAATATCAAAGCCATTTAAATAATAATTGACTGTTTAAGATTTAAAACGAGTTAATCAAATCTACAATACAAGTTTATATGGGAATGGGATTTAATCTTTGTTTTATATGGCTCTGAGTAAAGCTAAATTCCTTATATGGGCAGAGTGTGTAGCTTTCAAGTTCATATACTATATATTACTGTACGATTTAAGTAGGAATCTAACCAAAGCAAATCTAATTTTAGAGATTGTGTTGTACCCTATTTCTGTTTTCACATTTATCTGCTGGTCAAGCAACATTACCATTTACTGGATATATTCTATTTTAACAAGAATAAGGCATAAATTATAGATTCCTTTTTGTTTTAAATATTCTGAAATATGATATATAAGTGGTGAGTGGCAAAACTCATTAAGTACAACATATTGAAAATAATAAAGAACTTACTCTAAATATTCCATTTTGTTAGCGTCTGTTACTAAAATATCTTTGCCATTTGGTTTTAACTCTCTCTCAGTAATCTAGAGAAAAAATAATCATAGAAATTACGTATTTAAAGTATAAATCTTGAAAACTATTTATATATATATATATATACTTTTCTGAGTGTATTATTTGAAGAATGCAATGATCACATTGTCATGTACAGTTAACCTTTTTTTAATTTAAAATTTATATGGATGAAATGAAACTAAGACGCTTTTACTATTTATCAAATTTAATTATCTGTTAAACAAATTCCTTCTATTCCAAGATTTTAAGTTAACACAAGAAATTAAAGAATTCATACCTCACCAAAGTAGTCCTCCTCAATAGAAAAGTAAAGATCTAAACACTCGGGGTCATTATCACGAATATAACACATAGAATTGTAATACTCAGAGTCCTGAAATAATATAACACACAGAGTTTATTCTTCATTATCATTTTTCTTCTTTATCAGAGATTTATAGCACAAAATTTCTTTCAACTTTTCCAATCTAGCCATCAATTATCATTTCAAATCATTTAAAAATATCATTCTGTAGAGAACAAAGATCTGTTGGTATAATTTACTTCCTTTAGGAGTTAACCAGGCTGTTTTAGTTAACCAGCCTTCAACCTTAACCAGGTGAACTTACCACTGACTCCATATCATCCAGCGTAATCCTCTTTCCCAACATCATCTTGTAAAATGGTCGGATGAAAAATGCTGAAATATAGATATAAAACTAATGAAAAATATGAGCAACACTGGACTTATCTCCCTGGGGTAAGAATGTTTCATAATGTGTAACCATTAGATGCATAATTAAGATTCCCTGCCCCATTCAACAACATTCAAAATATTTTGATGATGGCAAAAAACATTTCTTATCAACTATTCAATTGAAAATATTGTAATAATTGAGGAATCTATGATTTTTTTGATGTTACTAATATACCACATCTACCGTCCTCCAAAAACCAATACAACTTGACAGTTAATGTATGAACCATTTAACAAATGTTTTACAAGCATGCAGACGTTAACACTGCTGGTAAGTGTGACTTCAAGACAAAACTAGAAATGTGTCCACGGGACACCAATGCCTCCATGTTCCTCTGTTTTATGTCTGAAGTGTGACAACTTGACAGCAGGACGGATGGATAATGGTAAATCTATATGTACTCATATGATGTGGGAGATTAAAAATGTAAACAGATTACACATACTAACCATCTAATAATTTGCCGTGATACACTGCCATACCAGCTACACGTCCAACAAACTGGAAATATGTTAAATGATCTTCATTGAAGATTCCAGACAATGGATTGATCTGCAATGTGTAATTATCCCTGAAAAAAAAAATCATTAAATTTAGGATTACACTTTTCTTTATAAACTTTACAATCAGAATCAAATAATGATAAAACTTATCCTAATTAGTAAACAAATATGCTACAAGTTGGGGTGATTTGTGTTGCTTTGCATGTATATAGGGAAAACTTCGAAATCTTTTAAATTTTATTTACAGGAATAAACCTTTTAAGTTTGTCTACCTGTCAAAATTGTTCATATGATTTCAATTAGTTTATGAACATGACAGTGTTAGGGGTAAGTCACTTTCTTTCAATGTATATTGAGAAATCAATGAGAATTATCTTGGTTAAAACTGTAAGGCGAATTTTCATATAATTCAATAGAAATGATTCACAGATGACTGACAATCAAGATTGTTCAAATAATTTTGATTTGTAAAAAGAACAATATTCTTAGGGAAAGGTTAGGTGTCCCTTTATGTATTTTGTATATAGAGAAAACTTTGCAGGTCTGCCTACAAACTGTGGTGATTGATACTATGCTATCATGGACTCATTGTATCTTCTTATATTTGTTTTTGTTGTACAGATTATTAAGACAAACATTTCATTGGCAGCAGAAATAATCAGAAATTAATTTTCAACAAAGATTTTTGAATATTTTGAATATTGGTACATAGTCAGCTGAGGTCTAACATCAAATTTAAATAGTTTATTAGATGATTTGGTTTTAGATTTTGATAAGTTTTCCCTATATACACCAACCAAAACAAAATAATTTGCACAGCATTGGTAGATTGTCATTTACTGACCATTTCTTTGAAATAATATTAAATTCAACAAACTATATTTAAGAAAAGGTTTTGGTAGAGACAAAAGAGGATAAAGTTGGTTGAAATTACATAAGCAATTAATGTACTTGATAACAAATTAACTAATGAGCTTTTTTATACTGCTAAGACACAAAAGGCTAAAACAATATCAGTAACAAGAGCTGTCGGTAGGACAGCAAAGCTCGGATATTCTTAGTGCTTGATAGTAAAAGAGGCTTGATATTGTAAAAAATTTTAAGTTTACAAAAGGGCAAAATTTTTCTTTAACCTTTTACCCCATGGGCATATTGCGAAAAATGGCCGTTTTCATTGAAAAGCCTCCTGTAACAAGTTCAAACTGCTATGAAACTATGAAAAATGCTTCAATACTAATGAAACTTGGCACAAATGTTGACTACACCATAGCCTCTGTAACAGCATGCTCAATGGTAAATTTCCTGTTACCATGGCAACGGGGGGACGTCTCAAAATTGCCAAAAATCACTTTTTTGCATTGTTTTTTTCCATCAAAACTGATTTCAAAGTGCTGCAACTTCTTAATGAATTGAGATAGAGTAAAAGGCTTTTCAGTGTCGGTTACTAGTTACTAAGATCGGCCTGAGGCCATTTTTAGCCTGTCACATGTCCAAAATTTTCTTGGCGATGAGGGGGACTCCCCCCCTCTTCAAACCCCTCAAACAGATGGGGGCACATCCCCCTTCTGGCAACCCCCTGATGTAATATTTGGATGGGGGACGGCGCCGAAAAAGTGGTCACTTTTTTTTACAACATTTCTCAAATGAAAAACAGTGTTTGGGGCCTAAATAGGGCATTTTTTCACTGTTTGAGGCCTCAATAAGGGGGGGGGGGGGCAAAAAGCCATCGAAACACGCTTATATAAGGGAAAAGGTTAAATCCATGTTTCAGTTTTAGGCCTTGGAGAGAGTCCGTTTATGCACTCAAAAGAGAGTATAAATTTCAACTTGTTTCAAAGCCAGATGTCAATAGAATATGAAAATATCTGAGGTAGTATGCAAACTTGAATGTAAATTCTCAGTTGAAAAAGGGGCATAATTCTGTCAAAATGCTTCATAGAGTTACCTCCTCCTGTCTACAGGTTGGGGTCATGATGGTGAACAAGTGTGCAAAGTTTCAAAGCCATATGGCAATGGACTTTGAAAATATTTGATATATTACAAAGACTTTAACGTAAATTCAAAGTTGAAAAAGGGCATTATTCTGTCAAAATGCTTGATATAGTTATCTCCTCCTGTCTACAGATTGGGGCCATGATGGTGAGCAAGTGTCAAAGTTTCAAAGCCATATGTCAATGGACTATGAAAATATTTAAGGTACTACAAAAACTTCAACATAATGTGGTTATGCCGACACCTATGCTCGGGTAACTACAATAGCTCTACTTATTCTTATCGAATAGTCGAGCTAATAAAGTAATTGACGGAAATATCTATTGGGATAGCAAAGTTACTTACGTGGCTGAGTACTCAAACAGACCATAATAAGGATTAAACATTTCCTTAGACAACAGGAAGAACCATTCCCTGGCCAAACCACCATAGTCCAAACCAACTTCACCATCAAATTCTATCCATAGCCTGAAAAATAAATAATTGTTAACAGTTAATCATTTATTGATTTATTTATTGTTTGTATGGTTGGAATTTTGAGTCATACAAGCACTGTTAACGTCATATGACAAATTTTAAACTTTTCTCATGGAAGCATAAACAGATAACCTTCTGTAAGCAAGCTGGATAGCTTCCTCACATGAAGGAATCCAAAGTCCCTGTCGGGATTCAAGCCCACAGCGGTAAGGGGGAAGTGGTTTGAAGTCAGCAACCTTAACCACTCCACCATGGACACCCCTCACCTAGAACCACCATCTTTCTGTATCTAGCTGGATAGTTTCCTCATATGAATGATTCCAAAGTCCTTGGCAAGACCTCAACCCTCATGTTCATCAATTTGTAACAGCCTTAATAAACATTTTTTAAATATTTGTTTTGTAAAAAAAAAATTAGCTTTCAATCCTTTTCAAGACAAATTTATGTAATATCTTATATCTGTCTTACCTTGTTTTAAGCAGATCAGATCTTTTAATTCCCATCACTATTCTGAATGAATCTTCAAATATATTACTGCGAGTAATTTTAATATCAGTCTTATTTGGCACGTTGCTCTACAACAGAAAGAAAACAACAATCATAAATCTCCTACTTATATCATTAAAATGGACTTGTCCTAATGTGAATTTAGGACTGACCATTAATCCCATTTAACTATGCTTGCTGCTGCAATTGATTCTACCCATGTGAACAGTGCAGACCAATATCCACTTCTGATCATGATCTGCACTGTTCACATTTCAGTTAAGAGTATATTTTGAAATGTTTTCAGATTTTCCCTAAAGATGATGAATGGCTTTGTCCATATTGAAAGATGGACAGATCCATTTAAGATATTTAGGTTGGTGAGGATTAAAGTATTTAAATATGAAATGAACCGCGTCACGACAAAACCAACATAGTGTGTTTGCGACCAGCATGGATCCAGACCAGCCTGCGCATCCGCGCAGTCTGGTCAGGATCCATTCTGTTCGCTATCAGTTTCTCTACTTGTAATAGGGTTGGTAAGCTAACAGCATGGATCCTGATCAGACTGCGCGTAGGCGCAGGCTGGTCTGGATCCATGCTGGTCGTAAACCCATTTTGTTGGTTTTGTCATGACGCGGCTCAAATGGCTATAAAATCATTGGCACTATTCTTTGTTTAGTGTTTAATCCATTCTTTTAAGCTACGAAATGAAACATCATAAAATAAAACTATGAAATTGTTTTTTGTTTTGTGGCATTTAAAGACATACCAACACTGTACAGTTAAAATGGCAGCTTTACTAGTGGAGGAATACCTTAGATGCTGATCCAGGCATTCTTTCAGGCACAACCAGGAATCCAAGTAGAACCACTGATCTTCTTAAAGCTCACAAGATAACATTTTTCACATGAAATAATCCAAAGTCCCTGGTAGGATTTAAACCCAAAGCATTTAGTGGAAAGTACTTTATAATCAGAGACTTTCACTGCTGGACTATATAAAAACAATTTAAAACTTTAAGGGATTACTTTTGTAATGATTGACATTGTAAATTTAAATGTTTACAGCAAAGTCACTTACAGGTTTTCGTAACTTTGATCTGAAGTAGTCATATTTTCTTTTAAAGTCTCTTGAATACGGCACAGCCTGCAAAAAAAAAGACAGAAAATATTCTATAATGATTAAATACAATTACCTCCCTTTCATCACATTCTGGATAAGATGTAATTATGTTTTGGTGTCCTGTTTGATACAAGTAGTGATTCAGGGGCCTTGAACAAATTAAAAAAAAAAAACAAGAGGGCCATGATGGCCCTGAGGTCGCTCACCTGTATATAGGCCCCCCCCAACCCCCACCCCCACAACGTTGCAGGGTCAATTTAACCCAAGGGCTTTTATTTGCACAAACTTGGTAGACACCCATATGAAGATGTTTCATGCTAAACATCTAAGCTCTAGCTCATTGGGCTTTTTAAAAGAAGATTTTTTTAAAGTTTTTACTATACACATATAGTAAAAAACAATGACACCCCTGGGGCCGGGCCAGTTTTGACCCCAGGGCTTTTATTTGAACAAACTTTGTAGATACTTACTAGAAGATGTTTCATGCTTAATATCTAAACTCCAGCTATTTAGGTTTTTTCAAAGAAGATTTTAAGTTTTTGCTATACACATATAAGGAAAATCAATGACCCCCGGGGCGGGGCCAATTTTGACCCCAGGTCTTTTATTTGAACAAACTTGGTAGACACCTATTAGAACATGTTTCATGCTAAATATCTTAGCCATAGCTCTTTGAGTTCTTTAAAAGAAGATTTTTTAAGTTTTTACTATATGCATATAGGGGAAAATCAATGACCCCCTGGAGCGGGGCCAATTTTTGACCCCAGGGCTTTTTGAACAAACTTGGTAGACACCTATTAGAAAACATGTTCATGCTAAATATCTTAGCTCTAGCTCTTTGGGTTCTTTAAAAGAAGATTTTTTAAGTTTTTACTATATGCATATAGGGAAAATCAATGACCCCCCGGGGCGGGGCCAATTTTGACCCCAGGGCTTTTATTTGAACAAACTTGGTAGACACTCACTCACTAGAAGATGTTTCATGCCAAATATCTAAGCTCTAGCTCTTACGGTTTTTTAAAAGAAGATATTTAAAGTTTTTTCTTTCGGTTGCCATGGCAACCAGAGTTCTGCATGGAATTAAATTCTTTGAACAATTTTTAAAGGTGACCACCAAAGGAACATTCCTGTGAAGTTTGGATGAAATTGGCTTAGTGGTTTATGAGGAGATGTTATTTAAAGAAAAAGTTAACGGACGGACGGACGGACGGACGCCGGACGAAAAGCAATCACAAAAGCTCACCCTGTCACTTTGTGACAGGTGAGCTAAAAATGTAACTTTGATAGACAGTAAATTATTTTATTTGATAGCATAAACTATGAGGAAAAAAATTGTTTATACAAATTCAATAAGCAAATAGTTCATAACTTACTGGTCCTCCTAAAGCTTGCAATCTGGGATCTTCCCATTGTGTCTTACGAGCCTCTGTAAAATAAAGTCAACTTTGCTATTTCTGCATGTTACGTGCATTTATATATCTTTATTGAAGCAATAAGACATAATTTACTATAATTTGCAAGAGAAATTTTTAATCAAAAGCTATGAAATCCATTGCCTCTGTGCAAACTATATAGAAGTAAATAGACATTGCCACACACTAAATAGCTCTAAGCTTCGTACTGTGGGAAGGGAAGATTTTTAAAGGTTTTCCCGATGCAAGTCTATGTAATTCAGGGTGAAGTGAATTTTGACCCAAAAATCATAAACAAACTTGGTTGTGGTCTACCATACAATACAACACATCAAAGATCTAAGCTCTAGGCTTTGCAGTTATATAGAAGAGAATATTTCAAGGTTTTCCTGTGTAAAATTGCATGACACCTAGGGCTGAGCAAATTTTCATTGCAGGGTCTAATTTAAAAGTCAACTAGACAATACTATATACTAAATATTGAAGCTCACAGACAAGATTTTTAAAGGTTTTCATACATACTATGATTGATATAAAAGACACGTCCATCTGTGTGTGTTCTCTCTTCCCAACCATCCTGTAAATAAGAAATGATATTACATGGAAGATAACCATTTAGTCAAGCTAACAGTATAGCTTCCAATGACACTGCATAAACATATAGGTCATCATGACTATCCATGGATATAGCTTCCCTTTATACTTAAAATAATTGTCAAAATAAACAGTATTTGCTACAATTATGTATAAAGGCTTTAGAACTAGTAGTGATAATTTCTTGCATATGACACAGAATAACACCATGTTAGTCTGTACATCCAGGAGTCTGAAACAACTCCATACAATTATCAGCTTAATTTTACAAACTTGATATCAATATATCTTAAACTTACAATATACTGCTCTGAAATCAATGCAGAACTAGTCTAATATCTACAATTATATGTTTTATACAGTACATGTATAGGTATTACAGTGACAAACATTAATGGGGGAAGCATACCCCTCATACATGGTAATATATTATACATCTGTACATTTATTGCTGGTAAAGACAGAAAATAAGGTAAACTCATTGACCTTTCACAAGCCAGCAGCATGCCATTCTCAAACTATTATACCAAATACACAAGTAAATGAAGCATCTATGAGAATACAATGTAAATGGAGAGCACAACATTCTCATACAATTATACCTAAGTCATGAGTAATTTTAGGGAATAAATAGAGATCAAATGGTTATAATCATACTACTCACTGGTAAAGGTCCTAAATTTCTTAGAAGATCTTCATTAGAAGAAGGCCTCATTAAACTTGAACCAGGTGAGCTGGCATCATCTTGACTAACACGCATACTGCCAGATCTTGGTTTTCTTGGATCCTCCTGTAAACAACAACAAAACTACATGTAAAACTGCACAAAAAAATATGTATTTTACAGGCACATTTGTGTATCTTATTTTATCACACACCCGTGCCGATTTTGCGACTCCGTAAATATGGTATTGCACGGCCGTGCATATATTTTGACGTGACGTCATTAGCGTTATACAAACATAGTGTAAAGACGCGCTAAATGTTAACGTTATACTATAGGCGCGTCAATGTAAAATTACTCTTGTTTCACTTTAAACGGTCTTTATTTTTGGTATGTGATAAATAGAATATTAAATTCGTGTAAGTTCATTACTGAATTTATTGCACTCGTTGAATAAAATAATATTATGCTCGCCAGAGGCTCGCATAATATAATTTTATTCAACTCGTGCAATAAATTCAGTATTGAACTTACACTCATTCAATATCCTCTATATATCAAATATCAACAACAACAAAAATTATATAAGTTTAAACCATACATAATACCATAAATTATTTCCTTATTTTTTTTCCTATATTCTTTATTTTTCTTTCTATGTACCGATTGTCCTGAAGGAATCTTAAAGCAAGAAAGCTGACTTATTTGTTTATCTAACATATCCAGCTATGATGACAGAAGTTTAATGGTTTTATTTCATTTTTTTTCTTTTCATGTCAAATGTCAAACTGCTATGCATATCCACACCTACAAACACTTACAAATATGTCACATGCCCTAGAAGAAATCAACTTTAAACAATGAACATAAAATAGGGATAAATGCCATGGAATTCTACCAGAAACAGATAAGCATTTTTAAAATCGTACCCAAGTAGTTTTGGCAGTGTTATGGTCAATATAAAAAACTCTGCCATTTGGAGCTACACCTGTTGCCCATCCTGCAGGTAAAGCTTCTTCATCGTCTGCCCCTGTTCCTGTCCGAGTCTGCAAAAATAACAACAAATATAGTAAAACTACACACAGTTTCATAAAGTATGTATTAACAGATTTCTTTTTTTAAATGGTAAATCTGTCAAATTAAAGAAAAACTATTTGTAACAAACGGAAATCTTTAATACCATGTAGAACAGATTACTTAAAATTCAATTATGTTTGTAGATTAATTGAGATTGCTTGAAATTGTATTTGCTAATCTGTTTATTTTAACCTAATATACGCATAGTGAATATGTTTTGTTAAAATGTGTTTGTTATACCGCTCACATAAAATGTTTATATTGTGAAATGTATATGTTGGCATGGGCTGGTGGCCTTAAGTCAATAAAATGTTTGTTTTTTGTGGGTTTTTTTTTAAGAAAAATTTAATGCAATCTATGTTATCAAATAAAATTGTTTAAGACAGTTTTGCAATAAATGTTATTCATGACAGCATTGTGATATATATTTATTGTCCACTGTTTGTGAATTGGCAGCAAGATAAAACAGTCATAACTCAACAAAGTTTAAGAACAAGATACCACTGTTATTATAAACCACAGGATTTTATAATTATTACAGCATTACAGCAGGAAAATGTTAACCTTTCTATTATTCATTTCACTTTTTGATTGTTAATGGCAGCAAAGAGCTGCCTAAGCTAAAAAAAAACTCTCAAAGCATTTTTAAAGAAACACCCTTCTTATGATTTTCTTTCAGATAAAAAAGAATCTGTATGAAATTTTTGGAAAAAGCGTCTTTAAATACTTTAATTTTGAGGCAGAAAAGTTTGTCAATGAAGCCACAAGATGAAGCCTCACTGCATACCCATATACTACACAGTTAACAGCAGAATTCTTGACTTTCAATATTAACATTAATATAAATGAAAACAAGAGAAAAAAACACAAAATTAAAGGCAGGATCCGATTATTGATTATTATTGAATATCAAATATTGAAAATGGGTTCACATGAATGCATAATCCAGTCATGGATATTTGATTGTTTGACAAATTAACCAATGCTTGCTGCTAAATGGAGTAATGGACTTGGACTGATATGGATTTAGGACTGTCTATAGTTAGTTTTTGTGAGTTTAATAGTTACAATAGTAAAATACAGTCGACAGCAGTATATAGAGTATGGTCCAACTTCTATATTGTCTTAAATATGTTATAATATGTAATAATCACATATGTATGATGTTTAAGATGTACAACAATGATATGGATACTGTATCTTAGAATCATTTTCAAACAGACTATAACAATAATGATCTCAAAGAACATAATTATTAAAACAGATTATAACAGTAACAAACTTCAACGACATTTTGAAAAAGAAACTAAAACAATATTAATCTTAAAATTTAATACTAAAGAGAAAAATGTTGGTCAAAGAAAAAGCTTAAAAACTACATATATGTACATAATTGGTCAGATTTTATGCAAGTCTTATCTTGAAACATGAATATAAACTAAAACTTAATTTTTTTTACAACACTCAGAAAGTGAATTTATATTATAACACTGCAATCAAATTCTCACAGCAAGCTTTTTCCAAACAAGCTAATTTTAACAAAAGCAAAAAGAATAACTTAAATAAACCCAAAGTAAAACAATACCAAGTAAAAAGAATGTAAATCAATCCACAATTCCAGACTTTTCAAGCACAAACAGCATGATCTACTCCAAAATTATATCAAATGAATTTCAGTGAAATTTTTCATATAGAATTTTAGGCATTCCGGAGATTTTCAAATAAAAAAGTTTGGTTTCAATGGAATTTTCTGTTTAAAATATACAATAAATTTGTTAGCCAAACAAGGTGATTATTACTTTGAAGAAGGGAAAAAATATGTTACTAATGTGGCAGGACATATTTGTTATAAAGATGTTAAATGTTTTGCTTTAGAATGCTAGGTTTCAAAACCTTTACACTCATTGATTAGTACTGGTTGATTCAAGGAACATATTTGAACATGTTTCAGTAAGATTATAGTTCCTAACACAATCAAACTAAAACAGGTTTGTATAAACTAAACACTAAATGTTAGGTCCTAATGAAGATCCTTGTTGACTCACAGAAAAAAAATAGTACTGCAAGTGATTGTTAAAAGAGAGATAGAAATTACTACATTACATACAGGACTAAGATGGCACTGAACGATAATCTTAAAACTTACAATGGAATCAGCACTGGACTGTCTACCCTGTATAATACGTATATAATGTTTATTCATTATACTAGGCAACATCAAATATACATAAGGCCATTATTTTTTGATATTTCGGTTTACTGACCCGCCGACTCCGTATTTTGGGAAAATGAAAAAAAAAAAACTGCCCCCAAAAAATTTTGTGTTGTCTTGAAATACGCCGCTAATAAAGTTAAGATGTTAGTTAATATTCTATCAGGATATATATATATCTCATCTTACGACTTTTCAAACAAACGTCGGTAATAATTATGAAATAATGTCTGTTAAATGGGTCAAGCCATTCTCACAGAATTATAATGAGGCTTTGATCATATTTCATCAATACAATTAAGGTGTCCAAATGCGTAAAAATGTCAAAGTAAACAACTTCAAAAAAAAAAAAAAAAAAAAAAACGCCAAAATTATGTAAGCAGTTACATTCAAGGACAGAGCAAGAGAAATCTGATGCAATTGACAAGATCAGTATTTTCAGATTTTAACAAAAAAAAAAATAGTCTTTAAAAGCAGATTGAATACAGGTTTTCAAACAAACAAAATTTAAAATGCACTTACTTTTAATAGATTTTATGTCAATAATTGACCCGCTAATTATCCGACAAAAAATATTTTCACATCGGGCAATATTAAAAATTGAACATGTGTAATCTTTTTCTTGACAGTTTTTTTTTTTAACTGAGTGCAAGTCAGCTGAGTTTCGGCACCTTTGATAATTCAGATTACACAGCAGTGTGTAAACATCAAAGAATGACAGATTCTTTTGAAGGGCTGGCTTGCCACTTGTCATTAGTCATCGTGTGTAGATTTCATGTGTGTTTTTTAAACAATGACAATGTGAGCAAAGTTTTTTTGTGTGTATTTAGACAATCTTTGGAATAGACAATCGGCGATCGATGTATTTAATTTCATTGCTCTGGTAAGTACTATGTATATGTATGCACCACATTTAAAGTTATGAAAACCTTTTTTTTTTCTTTTTTTTTCCCGCCGCCGACCCAACCTTTTTTTGGAAAAAATCAGTAAACCAAAATATAAAAAAAAATGGCCTAAAAGAAACAAAATGTAAAAAAAATACACATACAAATAAAAAATGCACTACTTTCTATGGACTATTAATATAGATGCAATGCAAATGAAAGTTTACATTAAATTCTAGCTGGGACAACCCCTCAAAAAAGATATTGAAATTAAATTGTTTGCACCTTTTGATATATTATTTTACTACTTTTAAATCATGATTTTTTTTCAAACTATTACCGATGTAGAAATTCCTTCCCAATTGATTAATGATAGTTCAGATTAATTATTGTACTTATTTAGCAATAATGCAACAGTCTTTGTCCTTAGACTAAGTAATAACAAATTTTAGGTCTCAATAGTTTTCTATGAATTAAACAAGAGCGATCAGTGATCACATGTGTCGCCTCATGATGGCCAATTTCATGTTGGGACAAGTTTTGTGACAGACGGACAGACAGACGGACAGTGCACAACTAGACTTGGTACTGATCATTCCTGTAAAGTTTGCATAAAATTGCATCAGTAGTTTATGAGGAGTAGTCCGGACAAGCTTTTGTGTATTTGGCAACATACAGAAAAAAACACCTTTTTATCAAAGGGCCATAACTCGGCCAAAAATCATTCAACCAGAAAACCCGTGCAATATGCACAAGGACTTGAGCTACAGATCAATCCTGTAAAGTTTCATTGAAATTGCATTAGTGGTATAAGAGAAGTAGTCCGGACAAACTTTAAAAATAAAAATTATTAAAGGGCCGTAACTCTGACAAAAATCATTGAACTGGAAAATGCTGACAATATGCACAACTAGACTTGGTACTGATCATTCCTGTAAAGTTTGGATGAAATTGCACAAGAAGTTTATGAGAAGTAGTCCGGACATGCTTTTGTGTATCTGGCAACACACAGAAAAAAACACCTTTTTATCAAAGGGCCATAACTCGGCCAAAAATTATTCAACGGGAAAACCCGTGCAATATGCGCAAGGACTTGAGCTATTGCTCAATCCTGTAAAGTTTCATTGAAATTGCATCAGTGGTATAAGAGAAGTAGTCCGGACAAACTTTAAAAATAAAAATTATTAAAGGGCCATAACTCTGTCAAAAATCATTGAACCAGAAAATGCTGACAATATGCACAACTAGACTTGGTACTGATCATTCCTGTAAAGTTTGGATGAAATTGCACCAGTAGTTTATGAGGAGTAGTCCGTACAAGTTTTGTGACGGACGGACAGACAGACAGACGACAGATAAGTGATCCCTATATGTCGCCTTTACTCTGTAGAGGCGACACAAAAATCAATGGATAAATATTTGCTATGTTCAAGTGCAGTGTGAAATCAAAGAATCATTACATATATGAACAAAATACATTGTATGCTTGCAAGAAAAGTTTTTAAGACATAAATTAAAATGAAGTTCATAGTAAATGTACATGTACATCAGTTGAAAGACAAACCTCAAATTGGTAATATCAATCAGTTAAGGTAATTTTCTAGCTTTCTGATAGGGGGGAGACTGTAAGAAGCAATTCTATGCATTCTTTTAGGAAAAAAAACTAGCATTTTATGCATTCTTTAAGAAAAAACATATTTCAAAGCATTTTTGAGGAAAAAGGCTCCTTCAGTATTTTTTTCAGATAGGATAGGATTTGTATGAAAATTTGAGAAAAAGCATCTCTTAAATAATTTTGAGGAGAAAAGCCTGTCCATGAACTTCTTAGGAAGCAAGTCTTTATATATGGTAAAATCATGTCCATGAATTTCTTCAGAAAAACTCTTTTTATGCAATTTTAGGGATAAACTAGCCAACACTTCTAAGCAAGACTGTTTAATAAATATTAGTATTTTAAGAATGAAATCTCATAAATTTTTCATGGATTGCTATAAAATCAAGACAGTACAAACAGGTGTATCAAGAGAAGTTTAAAGAAAGATTTAAGCAATGCTTTAAGGAATCAACAGTCTGTAATGCCAGAAACAGTAAGTTAACCGCAGTACATTTTCTTACATGAAACAGTAGATCCCTCCATAAGTTTTCCAAGTAACAATTTAATATTTAGAGATTTTTTTGTGAAATCTATTTAAAGCTGTTACCTATACATGAGGAGAATGAGATCAAGTTATCATAAAGAGTGATTATCTAAAAACATGTACTCAAATCAAGATCAAAATAAGCATTATACAAAAAAATATTAGTGCAAACACATGTAATAACTGCAGACACCCATATCAGTGTAGCACTAAGCTATTGTATCAATGTAACATGGAATTTATGTTACACAGTTAATGCAACATTGAGTCAATGATACATGGAGTAAAAGTAACATGGAGTCAATGTAACACGGAGTCAATGTAACATAGAGTCAGGATAGCAAAGAGTCACTTACAAACTGAACATTGAGAGACTGTGTCCTATTCTGTACATAAATAAACATAACATTTTATTTCATTTTTTAAACTTATTATTAATTTATAGTCAATTTTTCCCTCTTTTTTTCTGTCACATAGCCATATCAAATCAAATTTTGCAAACAAAAATTTATCTCAGAAAAGTTATAGAGTACATGTAGTATTTAAAACATCAGTAAATCCTAACATATATCATAACTTCATTAAAATGAATAATACAACATTAAATTCTAATACTCTTACTGAGCATTCATCCGTTTTTTATTCTTTCAACTATGTCATTTACATATAAAATTTCTTAATCAAGGAGAGCATAGAGGAAAAGTCAATAACCTACCTGGTGAGCAAATTCAAGGCGTCGGGCACCGGCTGGTGACGAAGCGTTACCATCTGGACCAAGACTAACTGTGTCTTCAACACTTATATGCCGACGTTGTCGATACATCTGTGCAATACGACGTGTATCATCTTCTGTGGTGGTAGACTCTTGTTCTGTCTCAGTTCTATAATTATATTAAACAATTTTGTTCCCTGTAAAAATTTATGTCAGTTTAATCATGTGAATAAGTTTTTATCGTCAATCAATATCACCATTAATAGTGAGCAGGAAGAGATGTTCATTCAGTCATTCACATAGTGTTCTTATAGCTGATGGCAGTATTCTGATATCTCATTGTTTTTCTTTGGGTCACAGTAAATCTAATAGATACAAGATTACTGCGGTAATTACTGACTGAAAAAGTTTGATATTTGTAATAAAATTTGTAAAGAGCTATGCTACAAAAACAAATTTCCGAAATTATTTTGTTTAAATGTGTTAAATAAACGGAATATATGGATCAAAGATGTCCTCTCTTAATGCTATGCTTCAACATGCTTTACAAATATGATAAATCAAATGATCTTTCCTTTCATTAAATCTGCTTAGAATTCTGCATTTACTAGTTAAGTATAGAGCAAAATTTTCCTGTCAAATAAAGACATATAATGATGATATCATGTACTAACTCAACTGTTGGCCTTTCCCACTGGGTTGTTCTATGGGCATGATTAACATAATATGTTCTTCCATTAGCATCTACTCTTTCTTCCCAGCCTGGAGGCATTCGCGCTGGAGTTGTCATTGCTGAAGCTCCAAATGACTGGGTACGTGACCTAGAACTTTCCGACGTTGTATCCTCAGAAATAGTCTGATCTGAAATGATCAGACTCGACCTATGCTCGGGACTCAAGTTGTCTGAATGTCTCGACCTTGAATGGCGTGGGTGTTGTGATCGTGAACTTGAGCGTGTATTTTCTGATGTACTGGTGCCAGTATATGATGCCCTGTTGATAAATCAAAAATCATTACATAGATAAAAACATTGCATGATATTCTTAAAAAAACTTTTTTTTTCTTTTCAAAAGAATATTAATTCATTTGTATAATGATGATAATTAAATATCAAATGCATATAGAACTATGAATAGTCTTAAAGAATCTGTATTTCATTAGTAAGGAAAATTTCTACTTTCACAGAAATGTTAATTTTGTTAACTGTTAAGAATGCTTTACTTGCGAAATAGTAATATCCAAGAATAATGACTTTTAATCCAAATAAGATAAACACTGGATGTGGAATAGGTTTAATCTTAATGATATTTACTGAATCAGACCAACACTATAGTGGACAACATAAAAACTCAGAAATAAAGGTGAAAGATTGTTCAAAAGGGACAAAAAAGTTTACTACAGCTCGTCAGAATGTAAATAAATCTTGCAAAACATTTCTTGTTAGTCTGTGTTGGCTTGTACAATTATAGAAGGGCAAGTTATTATTATTATTTATCTTTTTTTGAACGAAGGATAGTTAGAGACAATTTGTTTGCCAATGCAATGTAGAACTTATTATACAAACATGAACTGATTTATGTACTCATTTACTAACTATGTTAATAACAGTTCTTTTAGCTTGGTCCCCTTGCTGACTACTATGCAGAAATAAGACTGTAATCTGCCCAAGTTTAGAAATGAATACAATAATATAGGTATATCACAAGCAAAAGTTTTTACACTATGACAATTATTCCAAATCATTAGTGAGATTTATTTATTTTCAGTCTTACACATTCAATATTGTAAGCACTGGTTGACACATTTTATTAAAGTCATTTCACATATTCTTATAAGTGATATTTGAGCCTAATATAAATGTAATATCAAGAGTTTTAGTTACAGAATACTAGCAGTCATAAAGACTTACATATAGTTTATAGTCTTCACTACAAAGCTGAAATCTGAATCCCTATGTTAACAAATGACAGTTGGAAATCCATTGTTAACAACTATATAAGACAATATTTAGCAGATAAAAAATTGATCAAGCATTACCCTGTTTGAGGTCTCTGCCATTGTGTTTTTCTGGTTGTATGGTTAACATAATATCTCCTCCCAGTGGCATCTCTCTTTTCCTCCCAACCTGGTGGTAATGGCTCCACTGGTTCATCCTGGGCCTGTACTTCCTGCTCCGGTCCCGACGCTGACCCAGCAGACTCTGCCGACGCTGATGCACCATCATCATTTGTGTTGAGAGCATTGAATCCGTCTAACATTTCCCAACCAGGCTGTGTTTCAAGCAAAAATAACAATTATAAAGTTTTTCAAGAAGAATTATAATGTTCCAAACAATGTTTTGTAAATTTCATTATTGCTTTTCTGGAATTTGGTTTCAGTTTTCACAAGTTAAACATGTGACCCAATCATTAAAATAGTTATAACAGATCTGAGTTTTGTTTTATTTTTATCTCACAAAATATGGAAATTTATCATCTAATAGAACAATTACTAATATCATTTCATGTAAATACTTTGCCCACTCTTTAAAAATAATCTCATTAAATGAAAACTTCCTTATTGACATTCTAGCAATTCCAAAGTATTGTAAAGTTATGTTCCTTAGTTGGCATATTTTTCAGGATTTTGTAAAAAAAAAACACACAATTAGGTTCCAAAACCTTGTATAAGCATTGCATGAAATTGAAACAAGCAAATTAATAACATTAAATTGAAAGTCTTGAATAAAGGGACTCAGAATTTTACTTTTTAGAGATAAGGTAATCATAGCAAGAACACTACATAGCAACATAGCAGAACATGTCCTTGAAATAACCAGGAGTGTTATGGCTCCATATCTTATTAACCAATCCCTTGAAAAAGTATCATCAATGTTAAGTTAAGTTAACAAAGTATAAGGTTAATGATTGTTGAACCGGACCTAATAATTCCATCAAAGCCCAGCCTATAACCTCTATCCAATCAACAGTATGGGTATAAAATGTATCAGTTTAATACAGCATTATTACTGTTGACAAGTTATTGAACCAATATCTAATATTTGTTTAATCTTCCTCTTATAAAATCAATGTTTTATTCAACATTCAACTACTACAAAATTATATTGATCTGTAAACAGATAACTTTATGTAAATATCTTGAACACTCAGTGCTTGACATATCATATACCGGTATTATCATTATATTCATACAAGTAAACTAGAGAGTAAATAAAATAACAACCATTATAATGTTTTTTCCAGAAAATTTTGTTTCATAAGAAATATGCAGTTATGACAATCTATTTTGGTGGGATTTTAAACCACATGAAGAATAAACAGCAACTTTCAAACTTTACTGGCAAAGGAAGAATTACTAATAGGTCTGGTAAAGGTAGACATTTTATATTAACACAGTATAAGTCAAATGCCACCAAAACATGAAAGATGGTTTTGGCTAACAGTCAGAATTACTACATCTAAGAAAGAGAAAAATATGCAAATTACCTCTTGGGGAGCTGAAGGGTTTTCATTGGAAGGCTCACTCTCTTCTTCATTATCAACATAGGCCAGATATAACCACAACTGTCCACGAACACGGGAACGTATACTGTCATAAACAAACAAACACAATATAATGGGATTGGAGGGGGAAAACCAATTAGGATGCCACTCTGCAGAGCACATTACCTTAATATAAATAAACTTAAAGGCCCTATTATGAGATCTCAGAAATTTGGTTTTTGTTGTCTAAAAGCCCTGAGATCTCAGAAATTTGATTTTTTTTCGTCTAAAGGCTTCAACTTTTGTAATAAGAATGTTTAACATTAAGATGGTCTTTTCTCTCTGTGCAATGGATATTTTCTTTCCATTACTCCCTCTCTTGAAGGATGATTTTATTCTGTACTTGCAGTCTTAAATTGATAATGGACAATAACTGTGTTTGTTAGATGTCATAGAACACCTGATATGATATAGATAACTGTAAATGAAATTAACTATTATCTGAAGACTTACCTTCTAGGTCTAAGGATATAGTCTTTACAGGCAACGTCTCTGCCTGGTCGTTCAGTTACTATAGTTGTATGATTCAATGGGATTTCCACAAGTCCAAGAAAATCATCTCTTGTCTGTAAATACAGAATAGTTTGATTATAATGTATATCTAAGTAGTAAGAATATGGTGAAATGTCAACAAAAAACTTCCATAACTTAAACAAATAAATATATATGCTATAATACATTCCAATATTTCAAATGTATACTCAAGTTCAATATGAATGATTTCATTTGTGTTTAGGTCTTAAGGTTATTAAGATAGAGTACCAGTATGTGATAATGTCTAGAAAACAATAAATTCTCTCTTGTAAAGGGACTATCTAGCTAAATTACAAAACATTTTTTATTTATTTCACTAGGAATGCTCTAAAGCTTCTTATAAAGTGGTTACTTGAGGGTTTTCATCTACATGTTTGTCTGAAGCTAAAACATCCAGTTAAATATAAGAGCCCTAAAATTTACTATCTTAGGCAACTAGTCTAAGAGTTAGACGAATAATATATCTGATCAACCAGATACTATAGACTCTTTGTTTTTCCATAAACATGTACAGAACCTCACTGAAACCAAATATAAATGACAATGTTTTTTATCTTTGACAAAAAAATCCTATCCATGCTATATTGGTATATTGGTCTTGAACTATTTTTACAGTTTTACAGATTCTGATGACAAAATGCGTAAATTAGGCAGCTAACAGTGTACATAAAGATATGGTCAGATGGCAATGTTGGTACAGACTGATCATTGTTGCCATATGTATAAATATTGCTATCTCAATAATCATAATATTGTAACAAAGCTTACTATAACATTCTTTTTATAGCTCAAGTATCAAATTTAGACACGTGACTTCGTACACAGAAAGCAAGTACATTTAATATAAGGTTACACTATAAAACTTAAGGAATTCAATAAATGATGAGTCAGCAGTAACTGCCAATTAAACAATAAAGAACACTAGTTTAAATGTTAAATTGATATACACAGTTCCATGGCAACGTTTCTGGTAAATTTATTTTTATGGTACTGTGGTGGTTACATTATTAGAAAGCAGGGGTGTTTCATCATACTGTGCAGACTCTATATTGTTCAGTTGACAGCTAAATTTTAACATTTTGATATTGAAAACCCTTCAAATAACAATGGACAGGTCCTAATGCAAAGCTGGACAAGTAAATTCAACCAATTAATATTGGTCAATTAATATTGGTCAATTAATATTAGTAACAGCTATACACCAGATCCTCAGGTTTATAAACCTTGAGTTTGCAACGGAATCAAAAATTTATAGCTAATAATTATGTTAAAGGGGGTGAGCAACTTGAGAACGGAAGCTTAATACTGGTTGAGACTTCAGAAACACCTAATTTGATCAACTACAAAACTGTACTTGTATATGACTAAAGTCTGTGATTTACCTAGATTAAAACAATTCATTAAATAGAAAATAACCTACCAGTCTATTTGAATCAAACACTTCAAACAGTAATACATTTTTTGTAGGATCCACCTGAAATAAATCAGAAAAAAATAAATAATAGGTAATAGGCAAATAAAGATATGATGTAACATTCATGGGAATCACACATTCATACACTTACATTGAACTAACATCAAACTAAAGATTTTACATTTTTCAAAAAAACTGTTCACTGCATTATAGCATCACCTCAATAGCCAAATATAAAAAGTATAAAGTTACACATATGATATATATTGGTAAACAAAAGCTGTCACAGTGACAAGACCAGTGCCTAAAAAGGGGCAAAGTATACTTATTCAACAAAAACTTAAGAAAGCACCTAGTAAGCATCCATTAAAACTATTTGTGAATTCATGTAATTTAACCATGAAATATAAATGACAAATTTCTTACCCTGAATAGAAACTCCTCATCCCATTTTGGATTCAAGCTCTGTAAAAAAAAAAGTACAGTAATACTTAAATATATTTGCTTTTAACTTGTAACACCATGAAGTTTATATCTGCAGATTATTCCTGAACAAGATCTTAAATGCACTTGCTTTTTTTTCTTCTTTTTTTTTAAACAATCACTACTTATAATATGGACGAAATATATAAAATGTTCAAGAACAAAATTTATGCTGCTATTTTAGCAAGGGTTTTAACTATGCAATGAATACATGTATACACGTGTGTGCTGTTTGCTCTTCAGGAAATATACAAACATATTTCTTTAATACAGGTATTTTGTATGTGTTCTTTTCCAAAATTCAAATCAAAACTTTTGCAGCAGATATATAGCTTTATTCACATCAAATGAACAGATTAGCAATTCTTCCCAAAGTCCATCACTGCCTTAAATGGTGCATGTATAGAATCTACAGTACAGCTTTAATAATTTTTCCAAAGTCTGCACATACTGGCGATTTTTCTCTCGAAAGGATTGTCACAGTGATGTCACCGAGATAGTTGTGACTTTCCACTTGTCACCTGACTAAATGAAATTCACACTGCAGGATATCGCCATGCAGAAAGCTGCCAAAAATTATGGTGACCTACATTATTTCAGGTAACTGACGACAATCTACATTTTTATACTTATATGATTGTAATGAATGTAAACAAATTGTTCAATTTCTGTTTTAATGTATTAATATTTTATTATAGTTTACTACTAAGTTAAAAAAATTCCTACAGTTGGAACAGAAAATTGTCAGGCAAAATCCACTTGCTACTCATGTTATAGAGATTTCAGCAACATACTAATGCACAATCGTGTAAGTGTACTTATTCCCATAATGAGACTTAAGCGCAAAAATAAGAATGATTTCAAAATCAACCTTTTTGATAGTTGCAGTATGAACAGTATCTATTACTGCTGATTCTCTGTCCCCTCTATACACTGTCTCTCTATCCCCTGTTAGCGATATTCTCACATATGGATCACTGTAATATATGGCATATCCTGTTATCATGTGGTAGTGTGCTTACTGATTAAAATCAATTATCATTTCATTTGAACTAGGGATGGCAACGAATACAAAAATCAATACTCGAATACTTGGTCATTTTTCCGATCGAGTACTCGATTACTCGTATGATTTCCAGTAATCTTAAAAGTTTATCTCACAGTATCAACACCGTCTGCATGCTACTTTCATTTTCTATTTAAATTCGTAACTATCAATAGGACTGCACAGGAGACAAATTAATTAAAATTAAATCAACAACATCATATTTTACAATGTTTTAATTAATACAATATCAAGTTTTGAAACATGTATAACAGTTCATATATCTTTTTTCTTCTTGACATAAAATAGACTGATCAGCGGCAACAAAAGTTTATAAGTACTAGTTTCTAAATACTAGTTACCCTTATTCTTATATTCATAAAAGCAATCGGCCCTTTGTTGTTTTCAAAATAGTTACTTCCGCTACAAACTGTTACACAATAAAAGATAACTGAATATCATAAGAGCTGGATGACATAAGTGACACAGGTGCGCGTGTCAAACTGTTGATCGTCTCGTTTTTTATGATATCATTTTCGCACCTCTGCAAAGATGTTTTGATTGCATTTAACAGGTATTTAATGAAGATACATGCATATCTTGGAATTTCTGAACTAATTGGACACACCAATCATTCTAAATGTTAAAAAAATTTAAATTATATATTTTTTTCTGAGTAATCGAATATCAATTTTGTTAACCGATAATCGGACGTTCGATCGAGTACTTGGTTAACCGGTTACTTGTTGCCATCCCTAATTTGAACATATTATGCATCAATGTAATATACAGCATAATTATCTTGTTACTGTGTGTTTGTGCGCTTACAGATTAAAATCAATTCATTATTTCATTTTTACAGTTTTCTATTTAATTTGATCAGTGTTAAAATAATTAGCTTCCCTATGCTTCTTCCTACTTACTGGTTTACCATACATAGTTTCCTAATTTCCTGCTCTTTCTTCACTGATATCTGCAGTCGCAAAACCATGTCATATAGGGGATTTTTCAAGGAGATAAACTGATAAACTATCTGGTAAAATATTATATGCATATGCCTTAAGCAGGTTTGATAATGAAAAAACACAAACCTAGCACCAAATATATCTTTTTTTGCGAGATTTGTTCCTGATACAACTCGTATTCTCAGAATCTTTGTACTTCCATCTTGGTCTGTCTACAAACATAAGATAAAGCATATTCAGTTAAACAATTTATCAGTACATGTAATATTTTTCTTGTTTACAAAACCATTTTGCAAAATTTTAAGCCTTGATACTATTTAAATTATAAAATTTTACTCTAATTATCTAAACTGTGGAATTGGCAAAAACAAGGTACAAAATTTCAGGTCATTATCATTGTGGCCCCAATTTATCAAAGATATATTCTACTTTTGAATAATGAACTGTGGGTATACAACTGCATCACTAGTGCCTGGTGAAGACTGGATTTGTGATAATGCTATAATGAAAAAAATAATAAAATTGAAATAAATTTATTTCAAAATTTCAGCAGATAATATAATCGTCAATAATGTGATATTAATATTGTATCTTATTACCCCTCACTTTTTTTTGTAATGTTAATTTCCCATAGGTCTCTGGGAGTTATTCTTACTGTTAATGCAAGTGTACCATGTGACTTGGAATTTTTAACAGTATAAAATTTTGGTAATGTGTTGTTTTTTTTCCTAAAAAAATTAAATGGCCGCCATTTTGTTTTACCAATTCAACCTCTTTTTTATGAAGTTCACCATGAAGGGGGATTCGTGGGGCACCACCAGAGTGACAATGACACCCAGAAAATTTAGTTGTTTGCATCCTACAGAGTGCTTTTAGCTTCTTAAATACCGTTTTCAGCTGAAGTTATTGCATAGGAATAATTAAATGTCTGTGTCAAAATAGAACAAGCAAACGATCAAAGCATGCAACAAAGGATTATTCATTGAATTTAATCAGTGAAATATAACAGATGTGATAGACAGATGTATGGTATCATCGTAAATGACCATGTGATGAATATTCTGGATACAGTAGGATCAGATTTCACAGATCATAACCATATAAATGGGCTAATGTTTTGATTCTAGGGCTATTGATGAAAAATCTTGTATTGATATATAGAGAGTAAAATATCTACAATATATCGATATATTGACATTGACAATAGATACAATGAATAACATTTAAATATTTGTTACAAAACAAATTTAATTTGGGATCATGGTTTTATGGATGCTTGTATTAGACATTACAAATGCTACAAACTAACAGAAAGTTTCTTTTTTCATTTGAAAACAGAGTATAAAGTTCAAGTTAGCCAAGAAAACTGGAAAAGGGTGACTTTTCTAATTAGGTATATTCATAAACAGAAATAAATTTTTTCCACAGTGGTTTGAAATCTTCGTATCAATAATAATAATAAAAATAATAATAATAATTAAAATAATAATAAAAATAATAAAAGGAAAATGTGTATCTTTGCCGGAGATTCTTTTATTTTTAGGGTTGTTTTGTTGTTGTTGTTCTTTTTGTCTTTTTTTCTAGTAATACAGAATTGAGTAGCCCCATTCATTATGTTGGTACTTTTTACGAATTCAAATGACGCAGATTTAACAAATAACTAAGAAACTTTCTAAGAATTTAAGAAATATGTATACATTCTCGTCAGTTTTAATATAATATACATAATTTATTATATAGATAGCAATTGCAAAATGACAGTATCAACGCCCAGGCCGTGTGTATTAATCTATACTAAACATTTGAGTTATTGCCTGGATACCCTAGCATACATGTAAACTTTTTTTGATGATCAAGTGGGAGATTTTTCTTCAAAAAGAGGGAGATTTTAAAATTTGCATTAAACAAAGAAGAAAGTTCTGATATCAAAAAGAGGGAGATTTCTTTAATTTGTGGAAATACCCCTTATTTTAAGAAAAATGTTTGAAAATATGACTGCAGAAACTGGGAGTCTCATGCTTAAAGTGGGAGAGTTCACATGTATGCCCTAGCTCCTGATTTTCACTAATTTATTCACTATATAAAGGACTAAATAAAACATTTGCAGATGAAACAACCACAAAACCCGTTTCCATTTGGCGAGTTAACAACGGAATTCCCACAGTATATGCTGCAAACTAGTGAGATTTATCGATAAACTACCGTTAGGTAGAGTTTTAGCGGTGTAAAACAAAAAACGTTGACATGAGTAGGAATTTGTAAGCGTTGTGCATTAAAAACATATAACTTTCTGAATAATTTTCTCTTAAATTGATTCTATTTGATAAGCTTTGCAGGTATGTAATTTTTTTCAAGAAATGTTGAGTTTAAATAAATATTTGAAGCCGTCAAAGTTAGCGACGAGATTCTGGTCGCTGGCACATACACAAAGAAGGAAAACTTTCCGCATTATTTTGAATCGTAAGTGGGTTGTGCGCAAAGGGCGACCATCGTCTATATAAAAAAAGCCCTAAAGCGCACAATTTGTCCGGCTAATTGAACCCGTGATATCATAGGAACTGAGTATACTGGGCATGTAAAAGAACCAAGGGGTCTATTCAATAAGAGCTAGGGACTGGTTCCCAGATGTCCTTGTATCTCATGGCTTTCTCTGAAGTGACTAGTCTATAGTCATGTCCTCGTCCCCGCGAGGGGTTTGACATTAATGGAAGATAGATGAAAGGTGAAGTTCAATGAGGATGCTAGCACTATTCCCCAAATCAAAATAGATCTGCTACTTTTAGTTTTAACATTCTATCATTATCAAGGCCCAGATGACATTAAGATGTTGTATGTGCCTCCTTAGCAGTGTTCAGTAGGACCCCCAAATCACCGATAGATACGCCATCTACGGGTGCATATCTTACTCTTATCAAGAGTGGGTGGGGAGACGTCCGAATTAATTCGTTAAGGAATATTCCTTCTTATCTTTGTGGGAAATGCAATTTAATCTGTGACAATTAGAGATAATAATTTTAACTCTTACCAGATCCTCTGACAGACCATGAATTTCATCGTCCGATGACATCTATTTAATATCCTATAATATTCAGTATCTGTTTATTATTTACTTTTTTGACCGAGATTGTAAAAATAACCCGTATGTAAATTCGGTTATTGTCGGACATTTACGCCTGAAACCTTTATTGCCACGCCCACTTGTCACATGCTCAAGAGAAATTTCAAAATAATATGATTTTTGGAAGCGGAAAATTTTGAAATGGGTTAAGTGACGTTCATATGTTTCTATGCCAATTAAATAATTATATGTTATATCATCCTTTACATGTACATTTATTGACGGACTTTACTTTAAAATAAAAAATTGATGTAATTAAACTCCGTGATTTTATGTACATTTTATGTATCTATATAAAAGAGTTATATATGGAAGGTCGATTTTGACTCATGACGTAAATTATAGATCTTGGTGTCCTCTTTCAACTGTCAATTATTTCAAAATTAGCAAGAAAATTTACCAGTAATACAAAGTTTGTTTTTCCAGGTATCTAGTTTTAATATGTATATGTGTATTCATCATACGCGGGATGGCCAAAATCACAGCTAGAAAACTGGGAAGATGATTATGATCACGGACTTTAATTGATATAAATCCGTGCTGTTACATACTTTTGTGTGATGTCATTATATTGTTTACTTTAGCTTCAAATGGTAGCTTGACAGATAACTTTTTTCAGTGCAAAAATGTACCGCAGTACACGCTTCCATGGCTTCAGTATTGAATATTTCTTTTTTTAAAGAAAGAGCAAATATATATGTTTAGTAAATTTAAAGCATATTACCGAACGTTAGTAGCGCTGAATATGAACAGGAACGTTATATCAACATATAATATGTCAAAGTGGTATTCCACTACTTAATTCCATACAAAATGCTTATTCACTATAATTGTACTAATTACCAACATGCAAAAAAATGCTAAAGATAGGTTAAAGCTACAAAAATTATGGTCAGTAAGTACTTCTTCAAAAATTCTAATAAAAATTTATGACAGAAGAATATAATCGCATATTTTTGTTATTGGGTTACATTTATTGTCTACCTGTAATTTCTAACAATCTCCTGAATATATTTTTATCACACACCCGTGCCGATTTTGCGACTCCGTAAATATGGTATTGCACGGCCGTGCATATATTTTGACGTGACGTCATTAGCGTTATACAAACATAGTGTAAAGACGCGCTAAATGTTAGCGATATACTATAGGCGCGTCAATGAAAAATGACTCTTATTTCACTTTAAACGGTCTTTATTTTGGGTATGTGATAAATAGAATATTAAATTCGTGTAAGTTCATAACTGAATTTATTGCACTCGTTGAATAAAATAATATTATGCTCGCCAGAGGCTCGCATAATATAATTTTATTCAACTCGTGCAATAAATTCAGTATTGAATTTACACTCATTCAATATCATCTATATATGTATATCTATTACATAATCATGTATGCCAAAAAGCATCTAAAAACCCAAGCAACGTCGCTGATGTAATATTTACGGGGGTGTCTGTTTATAGAGTGCTTATATTTTTTTCTTTATTATTTTTTAATCGCGTTTCTTCCAACTGTAACATTATATAACAGATTTTTAATTATTTCTTCCAAACTCGTGCTTGCATTAAATTCTTTTTAAAGTAAGACATTACCTCTGCTAGAGTCGGAGTAAAATAATAAAATTCATTGAGCGTATTTCATTCTTTTATAAATAGTTTTGAGCTGTATTTGTGTTGCTTTTGTGTATACCACTCTTACTTTTTGGAAGTTCTTTCTTAGTTGCCAAGACACCTTTTGGTTTTTAAAGGACACATCATTCATATTTGTTGATCACAATATACATACTTGGACACATTTTATCTGTTGCATTGGGGCTGTTTCTTTATTTTGTGTTATTGTTTTTGTTAAATTGTAGAGCAAATACTGAAATTCATTCCTACATAAATGATTCTATCAATGTCAAGGGATGAAACTGGTGTGTTTACGGTGTTCTTCCTGCGACTTTTGCGTCATTAGGGCGCACTGAACACCGATTATCGGCGTTTGTTTTGTGAACGCAGTGACTCCACGTGCTGATGGGGTCCTCACGTCGAACCTTACTGGACCCTGCGGCGTTCATGGCGTCTCTACCACTGGCACGAGTATCGGACCTGGGAAGAAAATATGACCACATTAATAAAACAAACCTTGTGTTCAACTTAAATGTGCCAAAAACCACAAAAATGTGAAATATGAGCCCCCTTAAAAACATACTATATAAGTTAATATACTTATATTTCACTTTTTTTTATTTATTAATTTTTATTTGGTTTTGATTTTTGACACATTTAAGATGAACACAGAGGGTGTTTTTTTATCAATGTGGTCTCTACTGCGTCCTAAGATTGCCCTTGTAAACGCAGTAAGGTCGCAAGTCAGGTGTGACGGGGAGTAAGATAATATACCTTATCTGTACACTCATAGCGGTATCTGTTTGGTTTTGTCTTGGTTTCTTTTTTTATCTTTTTTTTTTGGGGGGGGGGGGGGAGTTAGAGGTAGGGGCGTGGGTCAATCACAAAGTAGCTCATTTCTGAGGGCTTTCAACTAAAAAATTACCATCTGACATCCTGTTAAAGTACTATTTTTACTTTTGAGTGGGTTGCGGCGGTTGCACTTATCTAGTGCAAAACGACTCAATTTAAACGTATATTAACCCGGATCGTTGTGGAAACTCTTTCATAAAAGAGTAACTTTTTAATACGTTTATACCTAATTATACTTGTATCAACGTGTCAGGAAATAAACCTGTATAGACCAGAGAACTGTCAGACAATCAGTACAATCATAACGAATCAAGAAGTTCTCGAGTCAATACAAATTTATGCATCATGAAACGTTAAATCACTGACAATCTAGGAAATATGTATGTAGTTTAACTTAAATAATTTCAAACACACATAGTTACAAGAACAGGAAAAGTGAGCAGATAAACAACATTAAATGTTTACGATTTATTTCAATTAACAACATGACTCAGATAGAAAACAATAAGTAAACTTAGCGAATCTATTCCAATATATGTTGCATATACACTCACAGAGTGAAAAATATTATCAAATGACGTCATTTCAAATTTATACATATGAACACGAAAGAATGCATTTAATATGAAATTAACAAATGAAAAGATGAGATGATAATAATGATAAATTAATGTAAAAATGAGAATGTAAAAATGGTTAAAACAGTATATTGTTACATCGGAGACTGTCAGGAACACAACGATAATCCATGAAGCAAATGTTTTGTGCACAAACTTTGGTTAATGGATTGTCGGCACAATAAATATGTATTTATGTAATGTCCCATATCTCTGTAATTTCATGTACACCGAATTTATCCATTTTACACTGTTTGTAAAAAGAGCTGCCTTTTTGAGAGTTAGCGTAAATAATGAAAAAAAATCTCCTGGATGAACTTCAATGAATAATTTACAAATATGTACACCACTCTTTATACAAAGTATTTACATTGTCACTGTCCAGCAGTTAATTGTTCACTTTTTCGCTGCTTTCTTTGCTGCCTTTTTCGGTGATTTCTTTGCTTTCGGTTTTGCTGCCTTCTTAGCTGGGGATTTCGCCTTCTTTGGTTTCGGTGATTTTGCCTTCTTGGGAGTTTTCGGCTTTTTAGGTTTAGCTGCCTTCTTAGATTTCTTCGGAGACTTTGCCTTTTTCGGTTTTGCTGCTGGTGCTGCGGCCCCTTCAGCAGCTGGTTTCTTAGCCTTAGCCTTCTTTGCCTTCTTTGGTTTAGCAGCCTTTTTCTTTGGCGCTGCTTTCTTTTCGCCAACACGGAACGAACCCGACGCACCTGTACCCTTTGACTGTTTCAATTCGCCTTTCTTTACGCCACTCTTCAATGCGATCTTCAGTCTGGAGTTGATAGATTTCTGCTCGGTGCCGACGTTGAAGTTTGCCATTACGTGTTTCAGAATGGCCTGACGAGAAGAGCCTCCCCTTTCCTTCAAAGCTGTGATCGCTTTAACAATCATGACGATGTATTTTGGATGCGTTGCCGGCTTCTTTGGCTTAGCCGCCTTCTTTGCTTTAACTGGTGTTGCGCTCATGATTCCTGAAGATTCGGTAAATCCAACACGTAGCCTACGGTTTGACAGTTGTTAACCTGAGTCGAGTTAGCGTTTGTTTACACCGCGCAGCCAATCAGATATTTATTAATAGCGCGCGGACGTGATAGAGAGCACTAGCAAGTGCGCGAACGATTTACTTGTATTTTATCGTAATTTGACATATTGTGTTTGTTCATCTAAATTTATCATTAAATTGCACGTAACAGAAAATATGTCAGCGTTGTTTTATGCTGTATATCATAAGTAGATACATTGAATTTTATGTTTCAGGTCAAATTTATGCATGTCAACTATTATTTAGTGAGAATTTTGATGATAAAGTTGAAAATTTAATATACGAAAACAGCAATTTCAAAGTTTGAAAGCTGCGTATTTAAAAATAATTGAATAGCAAGTACATTTTTCACCAGAAACATTTAATTCAATCATTTCTCTAAAGATCTGTCGAAAAATAGTGCTTTTAAAGCAGTTTCTGGTGATATGCGAAGCTATTACTTTTTACCGACAAAGCACAAAATTTCGAACGAGTCGCCATTTTGTCTTGTTTTTACTGATTAATATATGTGGAAAATTCTTCAAAATCATTTTTTCAGGAGGCTTTAATTTGTGAATTTTGGTGCATAATTTAGGTTTAACTTCATCTGTATATTGTAATTGAAAGCATTTGTGCTTTTACAGTTGAAAATGAGCGAGAAATTGATAAATACGCGATCTTTGAATAGACGAGTTTCAAATGCAAATAACAATGGAGGTCAAATATTTAGCTTCAGTTTGAGGAAAATTACCAAGATTTTTCGCTTATTCTGGTCAATTTTTAAATGAAAGTTCACAATATTTTACTAGTTTAGGAATCTCCCATGTATATTTAACCATGTCGTGTTCGTAAATTAACTAATTATGAGTGAAATCTAGAAAAAATGACTTATTTATTATTGTAACGCATTGGGCGTCAAGCTGTAAACAAACGTATATAAAGTTTTTTTCTTCGTATTATTTTTTCACAAAGAATTCATGCTTCAAGCTGTAATTTTGAAAAATAATACAGACGTGAAAATAATAACTTAAAATATAGTAATATTAACGGGTAATGGTCAAGCAACTGATTATTTTCAAACGTACGTTTTGTTTCAATTAAATAATATTGTTGTGATACGTATACAGAGGCATCATCACTTTCTTTGAAACTTGATCATAGGATGAAAACCGTTATAATTATAAAATCAACAAAAATATTAAGAGACGCTTAATTCTCAGTTATATTTAATACTTTTCGAATAATAATAAAAATATATAACTTTTTGTATATTCATATAAATTAAAAAAAAACGAACTTAATGACCTTTAATTTATGACCAATTGTTTAATAAAACTAGGAGTTGAAAAGGTATGAAGATTGTGTGTTTTACATATAAATTTCATAGAACATGCAAACGAAGTGGATTTTTTTTTAAAAAATACAGTGTACAGAAAATGCCTAACGATAGAATAATTATTTTACATTGATACACTCGATCAGCCTGAACGAGCTTTACGTATACGATCAATGTTGATGGTTCTGTTTGTGAACTGTTTGCACGAGTAGCTCAAATTGTCTTATGAATGTTATAAATAAGTTATAAATATATAAAATAAATAAAAACGATTTAAAAGGTTGTTGTTTTAATTTTTTACATGAGTCATGTATCACGATTTAAAGTCATTATATTTATAGTGACCCATAAGGCGTACAATATTTGTGATGACAGTATAAGTGATCGATATACGGCAAACTATTGTACGGGTGGAATTGCGCGTGCATGATTTGTATGTATAGAGATTTACTCTTTAAAAAAACGACTTTGTAGTTTAGCCGGTTACGCTGCCTGATAACAGATTAATATAACAGAAGTTGTGAGTGCGATCTCCCGAAACCCCATCAACTGATACATTTAAAGCAGCACGTTCTCATATGCATGGCATATTAGTTCCATTTAAAAGCCCTTCAGATATTTTGTTACATCAATTATACTATAATGACTGTATAGTTTGTGAAGTGAATTTATTAATGATTTAAGCCAGCATAGACATTAATTAACTGTCAGAAATGAGATCAAATATGCTGAAATAGATTTAACTCCGTTAGTTACACATATGATAGAAGTACAATGTATATGGTTTATTGTGGCAGTAATATAGTAACTCATATTTTCCCGTAAATGCAAGCATGCATTATCTGTATTATATATTTAATTGATCATTTTTTTTATTAAAATTAAAAAAAAAAAGATTTAAATTCGCCGTAGCTATAGGCCTTCTTCAGCGGCATTTATTATAGCATTTTGACATCCCAACTGTTCAAGTGAGTTACATTGTATGTATGCCTGTTGGTATGTTTGTTTTTCAGCCGCAAAATAACTTTGATTATTTCATTTCATCTTTAAGTTATGCAAATGGAGCGATGCCAGTCGCCGACAGCAGACGGCGGTAATGACGTATACATTTTCTTTCGAGAAGTTGAGTTCCATGACCATTACTTTGTTCTCTATACACTAACGAGTTACTCGTATTTTGTTGTCAAATTAATTGTACCGAGAGCAAAGAAAGAAATACTTCGCTGAGTTTTCCGCATCACTAACCAATGTAATTGAACGTGTTATCGTTAAAACACTACTTTTTTATTTTTGTAAAATACCCATGCATGGAACAGCTCTGTCGGAATGGTCAGTCGTCGCGTACTTGTATGAGCAAATATAAGTACCGATTGTGGTTGAGGTCATATTATAAGTTTAAAAAGAAAAAAAGTTTTCGAGATAACTGTAAAAATATATAACTGCAGACGAATATGATTAACGCGGTGATGCCCTTGGGTTACTGGTGTCATTTCAGCGTCGACTCCCCATTATGTATTCTTGCATAAATTGACGGGAAAATATCATTGGACAAATCTGTAAGTTATATATATATATATACTGACAAGCCGGTTCAGGATAATCCGACACACACTCCTATACATATGCAGCATTCCAATCCGCAATTTGAAAACGTCACGCCACAGAATATGGCAGAGGCTCCAGTACCAAAATCACATGTGCACAAAGACACAAATCAATTTGTACAGCAAGATACTGAGTTGAGGCACTATGAATCCCATCAGCAGCCTCACACATTAAATAACACAGAAATATACGGTGTAAATACAGAACACAAATCGTATACGAACACAAATACTGGGGACCGTGCGAGTTCGAGCTTTACATTATCTCAAGAGAACAGCAACGGACATTTTGTCTCAGATCCAACACATACCAGCGAATCATGCCTCATTAATACTTTTTCAAATGAGAATGACACATTCACTAGTACATCCCTGTCTGATACAGCAAATTTAATATCGAGTGCAATTGTTGTTAATAATGAAACTCAATATTTAAATAAAATACTCACATCTGTTTTATCACAAGATAATTCAGTCCCAACTGACAAACACCAAAAGACAAATAATCCAAGCAATTTGAGTAACGATACACAATTTGTAAACACTTCCTTGAATTCAGTACACAAAAATGGCTCGACACATACAGAAAAACAATCAGGAGTATCTCATGTTTCTCGTGCAAACAACCGTAGTATGCGTAGATCAGTGTCAGCAAGTCCATATAGAGGAGTATCTAATAATAGAAGTAAAAAAACCCACCAATGCTAATAATAGACAGGTGGAAAACCCATTGTCAGCTGAGCAAGGTCATGTGTCTAAAAATATATAGGATGAACTGGAGGAGGTGCGCTTGCGCTGTGTACTTTTAAACGTGCAAGGTCTAGTTACAAAAAGAATAAATAAATTAAAATCAGAGTTATTAATAAATATCTTTAAAGAAAATGACATTATTATGTTTACAGAAACTTGGACAAATGAATTTTCAGATATTTATATGGAAGGGTTTGAGCATTACGTTTTAAACAGAACTCTGACTAAGAGTACATGTAAACGCAATTCCGGGGGTGTTATCATTTATGTAAAAGACTATCTTGTATCCGAAAACACGTTGTTATTTACAAGTCAAGATGATATTATATGGATCAAAATTTCTGCTGAAAAACTCTGTATTGAAAAAAGATCTTTTGGTCGGGTTATGTTATGTTTTGCCCGACGACAGCAGCCGACAATCGGTAGTTGAAAACTGTATTTTTGATCGATTATTAGATTCCGTAGTATACGGAGAAAATAACTGTGAAAATGATTGCTATTTGGCCTTATTTGGTGATTTTAACTCGCGAACATCTACCCTTCCCGACTAAGTGTCACATGACATATGCGATCACATGACTATGCTACCAGAAGATTATATAGTTGATACAGAAATGCCGCGGTCGTCTCAAGATCAAGGTCATGTTAATAATAATGGACGGCTATTATTAGATTTTTGCCGACAGACTGGTTTAAGAATTTTAAATGGTCGAATAGATGAAGATTTAAATTTAAGCAAATATACATTTGTTAATCATCGGGGTTGCAGTTTGATAGATTATGTATTATGCAGGAAAGAAATGTTTACGTTAATTGACAGTTTCAAAGTTGATGATCCAAATATTTTATCGGATCACTGTATTTTATCATGTTGCTTTAAATTTAATAGAATTTGTACATTACAGAATGTTAAAATACACAATCAAGTACAAAATTTTGTTGAATCAAAATACATATGGAAAAATAGTTTGAAAATGGAATTTATTGATAGTTTGAGTGATAATGAAGTATCACAAAGTATTGATTTGTTGTCAAATGAAATTTTAAATTGTTGTACATATGATAGTATTGATAATTGTCTTACTAATTTTGAAAATATATTAGATAAAGTAGCATCACCTATTTTAAAAAAGAAATTAAAACCACAGTCGGACGAGATTGTTTATAATTGTGAGAATGATAGTCCATGGTTTAATGAAGAGTGTTATGAAAAGAGAAATAATTTTTTACATACTCTTAATGAATATAGATTATTTCATTCGGATGAAAATAGAGAAAATATGGTAACTGCTAGAAAAGAATATAAATCATGTTTGAGAAAGAACAGATACAATTATGAT